GTACCTCTGTATATATTGTTTACAAAAGATAGTAATGATACATTGTAGTGAATCTTCCTTTGTTTTTAGCCTATTAGTGGTATCAGAGCACTTTTTGCTCTCACGAGTTTTGATCATGGCCTCCCAAGATGAGTCCTCAAACTCTGTAGAATCTAACTCCTCCCCAAATTTTGCTACAACAGTCCTTAATCTTGGCCTCGCAAAAAACCCACTTCCATTCAATTCAACTCGTGTCCTATGAAGCTAACGCCCACTAACTACATGTCATGGAAGGCTCAATTTACTTCTTTGCTTACAGGTAATGAACTTGATGGCTATCTCAACAATCAACCCTCTTGTCTTGTTGCAATAGCGCCAGAGTACAGCTTATGGGCTCGTCAAGATCAACTCCTGCGCCATGCTCTTATCACCTTCATCTAGAAGAAGATCACCCTTTATACTGCTATTGCTGCTGTTGCTGCCACAATGCAACAAGTCGGGGAAACGTTGGCAAGGCTCTATGCTAATCATTCTTGCACTTAGGTATTCACTTTGAAGGAGCATCTCTAAAATATGAGATGTGATGGCTGTTCTGTTGTTGCTTATTTATACAATCTCAAAACTATTGCTAACTAATTGGGAACCATAAATCATCCACTCGATGATAATCTTATGGTTTATATTCTCAATGGTCTTGGCCTTGAGTTTTAAGAGACTACAGCTTCTCTTCGAGCACAATACTCCTATCTTTCCTTTAATGACTTACATGATAAACTAGTGGCCCATGAAGAGAGTCTCATACATGAAGAAGCTCATCCTAAGATTACACCCTACTTCCTTTAATTATGGTATTGATCCTTCTACTTTGAGTGTAGGAAAGTTTAATGTCACTTTTAGCCGTCATCTTTTGCAAGGATTCCTTCGAAAAGGGTAAAACTCATTTAATCTTGGCAATCAAAATCAGGGTCACAATTTTAGTTCTAAAACCACAACTAAGCCCACTAGTTGCAATCACCTGGACCATTTGGCTGGCAAGAAATGAGGTAATATTCCAGAACACACGCTTGGACGAAGGGAAACTATTTGACTTGGTGCAAGCTCATTCATTCCAGTGACTTAAACTCAAAGGTGAAGAGAAGGGGATCACACTCTCCGATTGGATACAACATCCAAGAAGGAGCACTCTTGCAGCCTTCACAAAAAAGAGGGCAGACACGTGACATAGACCATACAATGGAGTGGGTTCATGAAGGCTTCATTGAGCAGTTATTGACTGTAGTGTTGTCCCTGATCCATTGGGTTATTTAAGCTGTAGTCAATACAGGTTCAAGGCCCTAAAGATCAATAGGCTCCCGCAGCAGTTCCAAGCTTTTGCTTTCCATTCTACTCTGTTCTCAGTAAAGGAAACCGTTGAAATGAAGGTTTAATATAATCTTCACAACTCTTCCTTAGTGTATGAATATATAATTTCCTCTAATTTGCAGTTACCTGAAGTTGTAATTCACTCACACCAAATAGAATACTGTCAGGTTTCAGTGTACAATTTTGTTCTTAAGAGATTGACGATTTAAGGATGTAATATGTCAAATAAGAGAAGGTTATTACAGTGAGATTGCAGGTTTACATCAACTATATATGATTTTGCTCTTTTCCTACATGAAAAATTGTCAAATTGGCAAAAAAATTATAACAATAGATTAAATAACACGCCATCATTAATGAACTAAGAAATTACCTTCAATATATGAAGGGCTGTGATTATAAGAAGCAAACAATGCATTTATTTATTCATAATAAAAATGGAAATTATAACATTGAGAGTATTTGACAAAACTTAAAAAAGTAAATTTTTTTCTTATAGATTTGAAATTTTGTTAATAGAATATAAAAAATTGAGTTTTAAAAGTGTTTTAAAGTAAATTTGAAAAAAATGTAAAGGCATAACTCTTTCAATACTTGCTTAAATATCACTTTAAATACCAACTTTTGAGTTTTCTTTCAGCAAAATTTTAAATTTATAAGAGAAGAATTTGTCAAATACTCTCATTAACTGCTTTTAACAAAATTTTAAATAAGTACTCTTTAAATTTTATCAAATACTTCTATTGACCTTTCAGTGTATAAACAATGCTTAATTTTTTAACCCATAACTAAAAGTTATTTATTATGAATAACAAGTGCGTCTACAGGTGCGACGTCTCCCATCATTCGCGTTTCCTTTCTCTTCACACAGACATGGATCCCGAAGAAGAAAGAGAGAAGAAAAGAGTCACCCTTGCAGATGATCCTTCCAACAAAGCGATGGTCCAGAAAGATCTTCATCTTCTTCCACCGGAGATTCTGCTCGAAATCCTATCAAGACTCCCGATCACCTCTCTGATCCACTTCAAGACCACTTCCCATGCCGGCTATGATTTAATTGCAGATCCAAGACTCCCTTCGATGTTCCGCAACCGGGTAAGCGACTCAAACCCATGTCTGATTCTGTTCGACTACAATTTCCCTGACTTCGGGCCCTGGTTCTATTTTGTGGATGGTGAGGGTAGTAGTAGAAGGGTTAGGAAAATCGACCCCCCACAGCATTCAGAAGTTGATGATCTGGTGGGTTCTTGTAACGGGCTGTTATGCTTATCCTCTCCCAGAATCGGTGGTTCATCGGAGTCTCACGGTCTGCTAATTTACAATCCTTTTGTTGGAGACGCTGTGAGAGTCCCACCAGCGAACCGATTTCCGAATCAAAGTGAAGGTTTTGGATTTGGGTTTCATCCGAGGACAGGAGAATTCAAAGTGGTCAGGATTGTGTGCTACGATAAGATCCTGACGGTAGTAGACCCGGCGCTAGATGTGGAAGAAGCGGATGAAGGATTCGCCACCGTTGGTGAATTAATGGTTCAGGTGTTTACCGTAGGAACAACAGAGTGGAGAACGAAAGGAGCTCCGCCTCCTCAATTGACGGATGAAGGCCAACCACCTGAGGCTCTAGTTGAAGGATCTCTCCATTGGGTGACTTTTGTTGGGATGGAAGGAGACGGTCCTATCTTTGGTATTATCTCTTTCGAGCTTGCAGATGAGGTGTTCGAAGAAATTCCGCACCCACCATGTCAACAATTTGTGTCATGGCGCTACAGTCTTTCCATGCTCAATGGGTGTCTATCGGCAGCTGGGTTAGCTGATGATTTGCATTTTGATATCTGGGTGATGAAGCAATACCGTGTTAAGGAATCTTGGGTAAAACAATTCTCCTTTGATCCCGACTTTCCTGGTGGATGGCCAAGCTTTTCCACAGTTATATGTGCATTGAAGAATGGTGAGATTCTGTTGCAGTATGATGACAGTTCTCTGGTTTCTTTTGATCCTGTGGAAAACAGATTCAAAACTCTTCAAATGAGTGGGTTACCCAATGAGTTCCAGGCACTTCCTTTTCTACCTTCTCTTTTCTCAGCCAAAGCAACCATGAATTCGCAAGTTTAACTTCTCTTTTTCTACAAGACTCTACTACTAGTTTTTAGTTTGTGTTGAATCTTTGAACATCAATGCATCAGTAACATGGAATGGTGATTGAAGATTTTGCTTCAAGCTGGGTGGGAAGATTAATAAGAGTTTTATGTCCTGAAGCAAGGGATATTAATATTATTGATAATGTTTTGAAGTTAGTTGAAGATGGATTAGAGGCTGCAGGCAGGAATGTAGTTGAAGTTGTCACTCGAGGCAAGCAGAATACTGGATTAATTACTGGTTTTCCTCTACAATTTTGTTCTTCTGCTAGATGAAGTCATTGTCATATAACCATTAATAGTTGGATATTGACTACTTTCTATATGTGAACTACTAATTCTAAGCATCATTGATAGACCGGCATAGACCGGCAGGATTAAAATGACTTGGAAGTGGACAGAGACATAGCCTCCTGTTAAATCTTCATCAACTCAAAATACAACGATTTGACCCTGAGAACCAATGCTTCCTTCATTATATCTTCAACCCCAGAAACTGAAAGCTTCAAAGCCATGGATTTGTGTCCTAAGAAGGGAATCCAGAGGAAAAAAAACAGGTTCCCGCAGCAGTTCCAAGCTTTTGGTTTCCAGCCTACTCTGTTCTCAGGTAAAGGAAACCCTTGAAATGAAGGTTTAATATAATATTCACAACTCTTCCTTTGTGCATGAACATTTAATTTCCTCTGTTT